TTAAAAGCAGAAAGAAGTATAAGGAAATCTCTTTCACTCTGCATGGCAAGGTGGTGTTGACTAGTCTTTTACCCTTTGTCAGTCATCCTTACAATTCAGACATAGCAAGTTAAACATTTTAATTTTTTTTTTTAAGGATTATTTGAAACCCTTCCTGGTCGGGTCCAGTGTGAAATGTTACTGAAGGCCACGGAGCAGTGTTTTAACACATTAGAAAGGGCAGAAATGCTACTACTACTTCTGCGACGTTTCCCAGAGACTGTGGTGCAACACGGGGTAAGAGAAGAAAAGCTCATAGTAACTATTCAGATTATTGGCATTCTGTTTCTTGAGATTTTGCTGAAATGTATTTTCCTTTACCTAGTGAGAGGGTGAGTCTTTTTATTCATGTTTAAGTGTGGCTAATAGTTCAGATTGCTGTATCTTGAGGTTACCACCGGGAAAGAATTGGGGATAAAACAGACGGAAGCAAATAAAACAATTTTTTGTTTTGTAAATGCAAAGAATATTCCATGCTTTTTGAAAAAGCAGAATAGCACAAAAAAGAGTGTAGAAGGGTATTACAGTCTAAGAAAGAATATTGCTTCAGCTTTTTGTCAGTAAACTCTCATTGAGGGCAGAGAGCTTTGAGGTCATGACTAGACTCTAACAAGCAGCATGTTTGCTTTGACTTACGAACCTACAGCTGGAGCTCTTTAAATGATGACCTATTTTATTTAAGGACAGTTTAAGGATAGTTTAAAAATAGTTTGAAAACTATAAAACCTGCTAGTTCTGAGACTGACTTACACTAACATGTTCTAGCTCGTACTAGCATCAGGCAGAACGCCCAGGCAGTTACTACAGCTCAGGTGACAAGCTGCAACTTTAAGGCCTGGTACCTCCATCGCTTTCACCTATCTGTGCACGTCTTTACTGATACAGTCGCATGCACAATTTTTCTCTTGGTCTTGTTTTGCTATCTTCTGGCATTGCTTTTCACCTGTTGTTAGGGATAGTAGGGATAGTTTAACGATCTGTTTAGAGAGTAGCACATGCAATTGCCATATAGTGAATTGCAACTCACACATCCACTGAATTACTGTTCAAGTCCATTGAATCGCAGTTCAAAAAGTTTCTAAAACCACTGGTCCAGTGTTTGATTTTCACCTCTCCTTACACAGGTGGGCCTTGGAGAAACTTTATTAGATGCCGAAAGTATTGAAGACCAAGAATCCCCAGTGAATTGTTTTAGAAAATTATTTGGTAAGAAAATATTAATGTTCTTGTTCTATTACACAACTTTTTAGTATGGCAAGATTCTGAGTTCAGTAAACTACTTTCAAGATACTAAGATTAGAAAACCGCTTTAGTCAGAATAGGGTCAGGCCACATTAGGCCAGGCTGACCATATGGTACAAATTGGTATTACAGTCATTCATGTGAGGTTCTTTGTGATCCTTTGTGGTGTATGGTCAGCCAGAGATGGAGGCTTACATTGCTGATTGAGAAACCTTACTTAGGACAAAGAGAATAAAAAACCCCACAAACCTAAAGGATTTTTTGGTTTGTTTTCTGTTTTAGTTTGTGACGTTCTTCCTCTAATAATTAACAACCCTGATGTTCGACTTCCTGCCAGCTTGTTATATAAATATCTGAATAAAGCAGCAGAATTTTATATTAACTATGTAACTAGATCGACACAGACAGAAAGCCAATATCAAGGTAAGAATATTTTTACAAAATTAACCTTTCTTAGAATATATTTTAGTATTACTGAAGTGACGTCCATAAATGAAGAATGCGTTACTTTTATGTAATGTAATCCCATAGACAAGGATTAATAGTAGTATTTGATGTTTCTTAGTTCTTTGATACCAAAATACCTCATGATGCTTCAACTACTTAGTCATGATGCTCATGATGCTTCTACATATGTACTGAGAGGTAAGACAAAATGTCCAAGATCTCCTTATCCAGCCTATCAGCTCTCCTATACGAGGAGGCAGAAATGCCTGCTGCTCCCTGTTAGCCTTCTCAGTAATGAATGGTTACCCTGAAAGCTCCAATGTACATTTTTACATGTCGTCTTCTTGAAAATAAATCAGTTGGTTTGATTTCTTTATGAAGAGAAAAATGTGCTGGTTTTCCTAGGTTCACAAGATTCCTCTGATATTATGTCTCCAAGCAAGCGTAGCTCTCAGAAATATGTAATTGATGGTCTCACAGAGAAATCATCCCAGATTACAGATCCTTGGGAGAGGCTATTTAAAATATTGTCTGTGGTGGGAATGAGGTGTGAATGGCAAATGGATAAGGGAAGAAGGTGAGAAATGTGTACTTTTCCCGGTATTTCTTCTCAAGGAGAATTTGGCTTTCTAATTCTTAAGGAGATGGGTTGAAGAAGGATTTTAACATGAGGGCATTTTGTGTAAATGCAGTGCAGCTTTTCTTTCAAGACCATACAATGTAAAGCAAAACATGGATCCAGGGAGCACTTTCAAATTAGTCTCGAAACTAAATCTTTGTTGATGAAAGTCATGTATAAGAACTATAGTACTGTGGGGTATCCTTCCCTAGGTGCCTCAGCAAAGAGAAACATGGTAAATATTTAGTGAAGTTTCACTGGTGTGCATTCCCAGGCTCCACTGACTCGCAGCTGGAGGATTTCCTCGGCCAAAACATTCAAGTTTTTCATACTCACTATGCATTCTTTCCTTTAGTTTTGGAGTCTGTGTAACATCCTGAATTCTTTTTGTCTCTCTTCCTCAGAAGTTTTGGTGATATTTTGCATCGAATGAAAGACCTCTGCAGATACATCAGTAACTTTGATAGTGATGCACATGCTAAATACAAGAATCAAGTAGTGTATTCTACGATGTTGGTCTTCTTTAAAAATGCATTCCAGTATGTCAGCAACATCCAGCCATCGCTCTTTCAAGGTTAGTTTCTACCGTTTCAACTTTTGTAGAGAGTTCTTTGTGATTTCATTGCTAATGTCTGAAAGATCTTTTCTCATTAGTCTTTTGAAACTGTCATCTTACATGGGTCTTTTTTAAAATTCTCCCAAGCCATTAGTCTTACCGGCAGAAGTAGTTCATGACAACTGCTGTAGTGGATCACACCAAAGATCAATCTAACTTAGCATCGTGGTTTCAACCTTGGCCACCAGCAGTTAGTTGTCTAGCAAAGAGAAAAGTAACAGACCAGATGTTATGAGAAACATCCCTAGGGTTGACCCTACTCTTCCATCAGCATCATGTTTGTTTCATTTTCTCCTCTGATTCTGTTTCTTTGAAGCTGACATTTTCCTGGCCTCCTTCAGTCAAAAGACTGTACAAAAAGCTTCCACAAAATAAGTGAAGATATTTTTGCATTAGGAACACACAACAAATTTATAATTAATGAAATAGAAACTGAATAGGAAAAGATTTCCTAAAATTCACAAGCTTCCAACTTGGCTTTCTTTGTATAGTTTAAGCATAATCTTCAAGGTGTGCTTTGCACATTAATCCTAATCTGTAATTAATTTGTAAATTGAACATTTAAGGTATGAATGTTACCTGTGCTTTTTCCTACCCACTCAAATCTGCATTTGGGGCATATCAGATTGCTTGGAACACCTTGGATTGCTTCTTCAGGGATTGACTGGGCTTTTCAGGGATGGCCCAGAAGCTGAGGGAAGTTCTTTAACTTCCAATTTGTTTAGAACTCACTGAAATAAACAGCATCGTAAAGAGGAATTTTCAACTCTTAATAGTGTGCATTTCCTGCTTCTTCACTCACTGCTAGGGAATTCCTTGCAACAATAACAATTGTCACCATAGGTAATTAGTACTTATTAACACTACAATTACTGATTCGTGATAAAATTACAATTTTAATTCTGTGTGTTGTGTTCACAAGTTGCATGACAATTTCCTGCATGGAGCAAATGATCACTTGAGTAATGAAACACTCAATACAAATGATGGGTTTTAAACAACTTTACAGAAAGTTGGGTAATCAGTTGAACAATGTCAGTAGATAGCTAAGCTCAGAAGACAAATGACATGGCAACTTGCATGCAAAGAACATGTAGTCAGTTTAACAAATACAGGAACTAACTGAGTTGCGGTTTTTGTTCTATCCAGAGGAAGGAAGAGTTATGGTGGGGCAGTGAGATACTTACAGTTTTAGCTGCTTGATGCTGAGTTGAGGAAGAAAGGAAGTAAAGCACTGGTGAAAATGTTCCTTTCTAAGTTGTACAATTGAGTATGTTAAAGCTCATGTTTTCAGACTGAACCGCCAAAAAAAGAATGTATACTGAGATAGCAGAGCGCAGTCCCTTCGGTGCTGCAGCATTTCTGGTACCCTCTGTCATTTCCTGACATCAGGAAAATATTCCCAAGACATCTTTTACTCATTTCTGCTTTAGCATTGAAGTCCAGTGGTATTCAGTGCCTTTCATATCCTTTCTATAACTAGGGTTTTTCCTCGTCTTTGGAGGACTCGCTGTAGAAATGTAGAATCCTACGTATTTTGGAAGCGTAGTGGTGGGGAAAAAGGTGTCTCCTCCTTAATCCAGTAGCTCTGAGCTTTGATCTGTGACTTTCTTCTCGTGTACATGGACTTGCAAGAAACCTCTTGAGAGAAAACTTTTCGATGCATTTCTCTTAGATAATTCATATCTGCCTTGCTGGAGACTTGAGAAATGAATGAGGCAATTCACACCTCTCATAACTTTTAGGCTGCCTGCAGGCTTGGCAGGAGTTGCTATTTGGGCTGATGCTTTCAGGGGTTTATTTATAACAGTGTGCTAGAAATCAGTTAAAAACTCTGTAAGCTTAGATTGTAGAGCTTGGTTAGACAGAAAAA